TCCTGCTCTCCAGAGGTTGAACCCTTTACATTTTAATGACCCCATGATCACCCTGAGGACAAACACTACTAAGAATAGATAACATGCTAATATCTGAACGAAACCTGCTGATCACTCGTCATAACAGATCATTCTAGTCTTCTGTTCTGTCTTTGGTCATCAGGGATCCTTTGGTCTCATTATTCAGACTCACAAACATCTGAACCTGAACTCTTGGACCCGCAGCAGAAACCGCACAGCTTGTTTTTCTCCGTCTCTCTCAGGATGAGTGGAGGTCTCACTCTGAAAGAGATCTCTTTATTGAATGCTCACAAAAACACAGCTAAAAAGGGACAGTTTTACACATTACAGCTGTGTGCCTGTGACACTTGGAGGTTCAGCCCCAAATAAAGAAGAGATGTCTTCTGTGCTGTTTCAACGAAGTGACGCCTCCTTTTAGAAATGAGTGGCTGGCTGTTTGTGTTGGAAAGGTTCCATCTCTTCAGTCTGAAACGATCAACACAATCCAGCAGTTATTTTGTGATGTTTTGTAAGTCGGGGCCTTATTTTAAATGCAAAAGCACAACAATAGAGACTTAAAGCGGCTGCAAAGAGACTTAACACAGCAACACATACAACTTTCAGTCTGGAGAGTTTTGCTCTCAAGGTTTAAAATTCCTCATTTGAGAAATTTAGGGGCAGCTCTCAAACATCTACATTTTTGGGGCGACTGTTTTGTTTCTTTATTAAATGTATACATTTTCCTGTATATTCAAGTTCCCTATAAGAATAACAACATAACGGCAAAGCACTTGTCAATGTGCTTGTTTATTTGTGTGTAACAATTTCTAATCATTTGTGTCTAATAAACTATTCCTGCTGCGGCCATCCATGCGTCATGCACCGTACGTAGTGGGTGTGTGTGCATGTGTATAGTACCCTCCCAACCTCCATCCCCCCAAATAAGGGGTCCTCCTAAAACCACGGTGTAATTTGAAGACTGCTTGCTCCTATATACAGAAGGAGAGGTTGGTGGCCTTTTACATGTCTGGCCAGGAGTCTGTTGTCTCATATTCTGTCCATGGCTGCAGGATATTTGGAGTTACAAATGGCATTTATTGATGTGATTTTATATTTCAATATTTAAAGTTGTTACTTTGGCATTCATTTATCAACAGTACTTTAAATGTGAGTCTTAACACATTTTGTATTCATTTTACAAATGTGCCCCGCTCTCTTTTATAGTGTGCAACAGTCTAATTCTGCTTTTACAAAAATGGAGCTGCAGGCTAAACGAGGACAGATATAATAGATAATAATATCTGAGATTTAAGCTGCGTCATGTGAAGAAGAAACAGAAAGAGAAAGGCTTTAGTTGATGTGAGTTCAGTCTGACAGGACAAACTAAACCTGAAGATTAAGATTAAAGATGTATTCTCTGATGTTGTTCCAGCCCCCTCAAATCTCTACATTTCCACTCAGCCTGTCAATGTTCTCAAACTCACCTGTGCATGAAAGTAGTCTGGGCAGCGAACCGTGTTTACAGCCTAATAATTATACCCTGTATAAATATTTATCTACTGCACACTAGTCACAGGTCAAAGGTTAGGGTGAATGGTGGGTGTATAAAGTGCAAATGTGAGGTATTTGTACTTCTATTTACTGTTACTTTATACTCCACTATATCTCTTAAATATTGTACTTTTTTACTGAACTACATGTATGTGACAGCTACTTTTGGCTGATTGACGACACATGCCTTTTGCTTCTGAAGCAGTTGTTGATTCCTTGCGGGCCCTAGCGGATGGTTAAGAGCAGTGAGGAGTCAGCAGTCAGTGATGGTATGAAACAAGAAACAAGTTTTTCAAAAATGGTTTCCCCCGAAACCACGAGAGGTCCTTGAGCATACAGTCCTAAATGAGAACATAAAATATCATGCTGCTCAGTCGAGTAGTATGTGAGATTAACTGCGGACAGACAGACAGACACACATATGCATGAACACACACACACACAACAAAAACACATGTTCCCCCCAGACTTACTACTTGTGGAGATAATGAGCTCCACCTTTACCAGCTGCAACGTTTTGCTCATGCAGGCCCCACTTTCTGCATGAGCAGTGCCTGTGCATCGCAGAACCTCTTGCTTTTTATTTCGGCGGCCATTTTAACAGGTTAGAGCAGCCACACCGCCTGCGTGAGCCAAATCCTTTTCTGTCTATTTTCGCCATGAACAACACCCGTCACGCGGAAAAAAATAGGCGAGACTCAGAATTCCTAGACATGTCGCAGTTGAGCCGAGCCTGCATTCGAGAATGCAGCCAGGGAAAGCATGAGGTTCGGCGAGGCACACGCTCTGCTCAGGTAGGCGGTGTGGCCCGGGCCTAACAGAGTATTTATACACTGTAGTATTACTTCTTTTAATTAAGAGATCTGAATACGTCTTCCACCACTGGTGCAGGAGAAGTTGCCATATATCCGACAGAACTCAGGTCTGGACCCAGGCAACAGCAGAAGAACTATAATAGATGTTTAGTATGAAATGACAATATGAGAAGTGTCTCCGGTAGTTAAAATAAGGTTTTATGTATTTCAAAGTGTGTATTTTTGGTGTGTGTCTGAGTGTGTTATAGCAGCTCAGGATATGGAGGAATTTCCTGGCATGGGGGAGTATGTGTGTTTCTCCGGTGATGTCATAGCTCTCCACAGGAAATTACATGGGGCTTTTCTGAGTCAGAGGATTTTGTTCACATGTAGAAACAATGGATTTACAATTAGATTACTGTGTAATACCTGCAATCTGGTAAACAGGAGTCACACGGGTCGGTGCGAGTTCAGAGCAGCAGATATCATAACTTGGAGTCAAAGACACAATGCTCCTGCTGGGGACTGAGGGGACATTTTGCCAGCTCGCAACTTTGGTAAACAATTTTAATCGCAAAAATAAGGAACTTTTACACTACCCGATTAAATAAAGTTTCTATAAATTTGTCCTCATCACTTTCTGTCACACCCACAAACACAATATAATGATCTATAATTTAAGTAACAGGACATGCGGTATCTAGTCAGTCATCACCTCTCTCATCATTCAGTAGGACATGACATCTTTGCACAGAGACACTGCTGAGAGGTTTTTTGTCATTTATTTATTCAGTAAATAAAGGTATCAATTTTGTCTTGAGTTAGCTTTTTCTCACCATTTTCGAACTCTGTATCGAGACTTAATTATTTGTTGGTAAGAAGCTTGAACCAAAGGTTTTATAAAGAACACGCTAACAGAGACTTTATCCTGCAGTGTACTGATAATATGTGGAGAACAATTCGATTTGGTATTTAGCTCCCCCAGTCCACTACAACATTGTCGATAACAAAAAACGGTTCTTGGTCAACCCACTCAGCTAGATGAGAAGGTCCCGGGAGAAATGTAGAAACTAGAGCATGACTAAGCTCTTTTGGAACATTAATGGTTTCACATGATTATCCAAATCACATGTAATTACACAGATGTGTCCACACACTGGTTCAAGATGAATAGTTAACCGTTATACAGGAACAGAAAAGAGGGATGTTGATCTATAAATGAGATAATGTGAGTTTGTTTACTGGATGAATGTGTTTGTATAAAGAGTCACTTCCAGAAGCAGGAGTGATTGTGAAACATGAAAGTGGAGCTGAACTCCCAGAGCTGGTGGTAACACTCTCAACCAGAGTTAAGCCGACAGGAAGTGATGAGACAAACAGCTCAACATTAACACTACAACATTACAGTAAACACACAACACCATGCACGGTTGCTTCTTGAACAGATTAGACGGAAGGTGTATGAGGTAAAAGACAAGAGCAAACCGGACCACATAAACAGAACCTTATTAAAGCCTTGGTAATAAATGAATGCCAAGTAAAGAACTTTAAACATTCTAACATGAAATAACATCAATAAATAACTGCTATTTGTAACTTTGAATGTTCTACAACTGTGGACAGATTATGAGGCAACAGTCCCCTGGATCAAGACATATAAAAAGCTCTCCATCTGTCCTACATTGGAGTAAAAACCCCAGACCGAAAGAGTGGTGGTCTCGCGCCTCTTTATTGTGGTTTTGAATCTCTTGGGGTAATTTTGCATCTCTTTGTGGAGGTTTTGCATGTCTTTCTGTGTTTCGTTTTGGCATCCTTTTCTAGTCATTTTGAGTCTCTTTGTAGTTGTTTGGCATCTCTTTGTAGTAATTTTGCGTCTCTTTGCAGTTGTTTGACTTTCCAACAGGGGGCCTCAGGACTTGCCACCTCTGACCACCCCTTTTGTTTGGTGACAAAGTTAATCTAATGAGTTTTGAAGTGGTAAATGTATCTTTTGTGATTATGTTGAATGTTCTTAACCCCATAAAGGAAAAAGCCCTCTGGGCTCTTCTCTGTGACTTCATGGTGTGTGT